CTTCCTCTCAGGGACCCTCAGCGAGGCAGGTGGGAGGGGGACCAGGCCGATGCGCTCAGAGAGCGTCACAGGGGCCTCCAGTGTCAGCAGGGCCACGTCCGCGCCCCCCTCTGCTGACAGGCTCTGGTTGAACTTGGGGTGGCGGACGATCTTAGTCACAGTTGTCAGTGTGTCATGGTCATAGAGTCTCAGCTGCCCAACTTGAACCCTGAGGCCATAGGCTGCCCAGTCCTCCCTGCGGGGAGAGGGACCAGGAGCCTCTCAGAGGAGCCTCCGGGGCAGGGCCAGTCTGGGCACAGCAGCAGGGCTGGGGCTGCACTAAGTGTGTCTTTCCCCTGAGATCCCGGGCCCTGCCCACAGCCCCCCTCCCATCAGCCCTCTGTGAGTTTCCCACCCCCACCCCTGCCAGGGGGCCTCGGGCTGTGTGGCTCACCGCTGGGTGCAGTGGGCTGTGGTCAGCACCCACTGGTGGTGGATGAGGGAGCCCCCACAGAGGTGCTGCCACAGCTCCAGCTCCTTATTGTACCTTCGGACGCTGACCTGCCAAGGCCATCTCCCAGCGGGGGCATTGTGCGCCCCCACGGGGCCACCCTGCTGTGTCAATGAGCTGAGCCCTGGGAACACAGGGGACGCCATCAGGGACCCAGCAGGGCCCCTCGCGCTCAGTCTCTCCTAGAACGAATCAAGGAGGCCCACCCTGAGTTGACGCTGAGGGGCCTGGGCAGCCTGAGCAGAAGATGGGGACAGGGAGTCAGGACTCACTGGGAACGAGGGCACGGAGCCCCCCAGGCCTGGGAGGCTCAGGAACAGCAGCCACAGCATCTGCGGGGCAGGCAGGGGCCTGGGTGAGACCACCAGGGGCCGGGGTCCCGTGTGGGGATGGAGAAGCCGGGGTCTGAGCAGCAGCATCCTCACCTGGAGGGACCCTCCTTGGGACCCTCTCTGCACCTCTTCATCCCCGGGCACAGGAAGGGAAGGCAGGGGCCCCTGGCTGGGCCATGGGCAGAGAGAGCTGCTCCTCTCTCAGGCCCACCCAGGTCGGGGGTCAGTCAGCAGGCCACGAGGAGCTGCTGCTGGGCCCTGGTGCTGCCTCCCCCGGACCTGCCACCTGCTGTCACTGGGCAGCAGCCATCTTTGGCTGCACAGATCTCAGCCACAACGCACAGCCAGGCCGGCGACCTGAGCAAGGAGAGCTGCCAAGAGGGTGCAGTTTTGCTGGAAGAAGCCTCAGAGCTCTGGGCCCAGGCAGGCGAGCCCAGGGAGACAGAGCCCCAGAGCTGCTGCTGGGCCCTCGATCCACAGGGCAGCCCCTGAATCCGCTGAACCCTGTGAGACAGCGTGGAGCTCGCCACCATCTGACTGGAGCATCCCATCTTCCTGGCACGTGGCCTGTGGCCACCCTCACTGCCACCAGCTGAGGCCATGCACACTGCCCCCTGCAGGGTGCTCCCTGGAAGCTGCACCAAGATGGGCTTTCATGGCAGTACAAGTCAGGGAGTGGCACCCGGGAGGCAGGTGGACGGAGCAGTAATGGGCAGAGGGCGAGGCTGGAGCACAATGCAGGCTGATGACACCTTGACCAGCCTACAGGGAGACCCAGGCCACGGCCCCACTGGGACTCAGTGTCAGCCCCTGCCTCTCCCTGCGCCAGCCAGGAGGCACCTCCCGGGGCTAGGCAGCCAGAGGAACTGCCAGGCGTCCCAGACACTGTCATCAAGTCCTGCCCTGAAAGGGGACCTGACCTGTCTCTGTGTCCGGCAGCGTCCACCGCCTTCTGCCTAGTGTGCTGAGGAGGCGGCTGCAGGACCATCGAGCAGTCCCTGCCCAGGAAACTGGGAAGCAGAAGCTCAGGGTACAACTGAGGCCGACAGGGCCCCTCCACTGTCCACCTGGGACCCACCCTTTGCTACTAACTGGGACTCTGGGACTTACCTGGTAGCACGACCCAGACCCCCATCCCTGAGGGGCTGAGCTCTGGTCACAGGGACTTCTCAGGCCAGGTGGCTGCACGTGTCCACCTGCCATCACATTGACGAGGGGGTAGCAAGGGACACGCAAGGGCCCTCACCTTCCCTGCCCCCCATTGTGACACAGCAGCCCTGCCTCTGCCTGGTGCTCAGTGTCATAGTCCCACCAAGATGGTGGCACGTCTTGCTCCGTGGCCTCCAGACACAAGGAGCTCAGTGTACCCAGACACCAGCTGTCACTCACATCTCAGGAATAGTCCTCACTGCAGGCTGCATGGCCTGGGTTGTCCTGCCCCCTGTGGGGCTTGCACATCACCAATACTTTTACCACCATCGTGTCTCCTGGCCTCCAGCCCGTAAGAGGATGCATTTGTGTTGTTTTAAGCACACACCCCAGTCGGGGGCTGTCACTGTGACCCCAGGACACCACACAGGGGGAGAGCCTGGTGGTGACTGAGGTGTGATGTCCCCCTGGAAGGGCATGGCCCTGCATGGAGTCTCCATTCCAAGCCCTGAAGGTGTCTCTTGTCACTTCAGACAAGAAGAAGCCAATGAGTGTGGGCCTGGGGTCCTCAAACTTTTTAAGCAGGCGGCCAGTTCACTTCCCTCAGACCGTTGGCGGGCCGGACTATAGTTTTTTTAAAACAACTATGAACAAATTCCTATGCACACTGCACATATCTTATTTTGAAGTAAAAAACCAAAACGGGAACAAATATAATATTTGTATTTGCATGTGGCCTGTGCGCCGTAGTTTGAGGACCCCTGTGTGGGCCCTCCCTAGGGTCCCCATGAGCAATGACCTGGCCTGCAGGGGTCTCTATTGGGGAACAAAGCCCTGCTGCTTCAGTGTCACCGACCTCTGAAGGCCCAGGCTCAGTTAGAAAAGATTTCAGAGACCAGAGGCAACATGCCCTCCTGTCCATCTGCAGCCCAGGCGTCTGGGTCCGCCCACCTTGATTCCTGCTGAGCCCAGGATGGGAGGTGCTCAGGCTGTGATTCCAGGCAAATGGGGCGGGGGGCGGGCCCAGGCCCTAAGCCCATCACCTGAGAGAGAGTCCTGCTGGTCCACCCGTGGCCATGCCTGCAGACACAGCCCCAGGCCCAGGCGTGTCTCACTCCAGCCTTCCCTCCAACTCCAAGTTCTAGGTCCTTCTCCCTCCCTTGAGAGCGCTGGCCTCTGAGTCACTCAGACCCTCAATCTTACTCCTGGAAACACTAAAGGTCTGACTACACCCTCACCCAGGGAGGAAAGTCCCACAAAGACTCAGAGTCCCCAGAGCCCAATGGCAAGGCAGGCAGCCCACACCCTCCTGGGGGGCACAGGGGACCTGGATGTGTGTGGACCACCTGGCAGCCGCCCACCCACAGGGCCCCGTGGACAGGCAGTCACTTAGGCAGAACCTGTACCTGGAACCCGAGGCGAGGCACAGGGCCAGGCTGTGCTGTGTCACCCCCTCCTCCCTCCCTGGGCGAGGAGATCCCCAAGGGGCCATCTGCCTGGTGTGCCTTCCAGCTGAGTCTCAGGCCTTATTTTCCCAGGAAAAGGCTTTCCTGGAGAGCTCCTGGCTCCCAGGAACCCAGACATCAGGACACATGGGGGATGCAGCTCCTGATCAGCCGGCCCCTCCCCCCGCCCCCCCCCCCCAGCTTCCACTCTCCCTAACTCGGAGTCCAGGCCTCCCCAAAGGACCAAAGGACCCGGTCCGGGTCACAGTGAGAGAGGAGGGCTTTCCACCCTGGCCTCGGGGGAAGGGGCCAGGCACTGAAAGGTCTGGAAGGCCGCCACCCCATTGTAGAATCAGACTGGGGACCAGCCTGTCGCTGCAGGGTATGGAGCCCCCTCACCCACAGTACAGGCCGCCTCAGGCTCCACAGGCCCTCCTGGGTCCTGGCCCCAACCTGCAGGTGCAGGACCCACCCCAGCCGGGCACCAGCCATGCCTCCCAAATCCTACTCCAGCAGGAAGTGCACGTCACTGCCTGGGACAGGGGGTGCTCCACAGCCTGTTCTCACTCCCTGGATTTGAAACTGAAGCTCCTCTGTCCACTGCGAGCCCATCCCCCCCAGGGAGAAAGGAGGGGCTCTGTGGGGCCTGAGGGGACTGTGCACCTCAGTGTCTCTCCAGCAGGTGCGCCAGCATCAGGAGAGCGGCCTTGGGGGGATGGGGGTCCCCTCTCCACCCTCCTCTCTGCTGCCTCCAACCAACCAGGACCTGGGAGCTGGGGGAGCCAGAGGGTGGGGCGGGGAAGAGGGGGACTGGCTGGTCAAGGGCCCCTGCAGGTCCGCCCTGCTCCGAAGAAGCTCAGAATGGGAGACTGAGGGTCTGGTGGAAATGAGGCTGCACTTCATTTGGTTCCAGGAGTTGATCACATTGGAAAATGGGGATTTGTTGCTCCCAGGTCAGAGGGAGCAGCGGTGACCATGGAAACACAGCACCTCCTGTTTGCATGCTGCCATGTCCAAATCATTAAAGCCTCCATGACACACTGACTGCGACCTAAGGAGGAAGAGGGACTGTCTGCACCCTCTGGGGCGGCCCTCCGGGCTGTGGCCTCCAGCCCCGGGCAGCAGACTCACCTCCACCCCAGCCAGGAGAGCTGCCAGGTCGCCCTCTTCCAGCTGCAGCCATAGCTGCCCATCCCACCTGGTCCCCCTCCCAAAGCCTGGGCTCCCCCAGCAGCACGGACCACCCACTGGCCGCCTTGGCCACGCCCACAGGTAAGTGCACTGAGTCCAGAGCAGTTTTTCATGCAGTTTAATGAGCTACAGGGGGTGGGGAGGAGGCAGGAGTCCTGCAGGGCCCGCCCGACTTCAGAGCACATCCCGCCTCTCCCTTTTGCCTGTCAGGGGAGAGAGGCTGATGGAGGTGCTGAGGCAGGAGGATCTCAGAGCAGGTGGGGGCGGGGGGAGGGATGGAGGGGCGCTAGGTGCAATGAAGAGCTGGCACTGGGAGGGAGCAGGGAGGGTCCCCCAGACACCCTGGAGGGCCTGTCTTCATCTCATGGGCAGCATCCTTGCCCGGCCCCAGGCTCAAGGAGAGGAATGAATATGAAGGTGGATCCAAGGCAAGAAGGATGTCACTCGGGCATAGACTCCAGGAAATTTGCGAAGACCGCACTTGCTCCCCCAGCTCACCACGCCTACCTGGACCCAGGTGCCTCTCCACTTACAGACCAAGGGGCCCCCAGAGTCACCCTGTGGGAAGAGGAGACAGGTGGTCAGTACTCAGGGCCCCTGCAGGCAGGAGCAACGGACGGAGGCCACAGTCTGGGGGTCTCACCCGACAGGAGTCCCGGCCTTTGCTCCCAGCACACAGCTCGTCGTCCTGGATAACCTTGTTGATCCTGAGGTATTGCTGCCGACAGATCTCATCGGCCACGATGGGGACCTCCACCTCCTGCAGATTTTTGGGCAGCAGCGACTCTGTGAGAAGAAGCCCAGTGAGCCTGTGGTCCTGAGGGGGCGGACAGTCACAGGCCCCGGGTTCTAGAACCACACGCTGAGCCTCAGTGCCCCCAGGGGGACCCAGGAGTCACCCAAGACCTCAATTATCTCGGTTCACTCAAGGCCAATGGGCTGATAATCTCTAGGCTGACACTGTGGGCACCAAGCTCCAAAAAGAAACAGAGATATATATTTTTTTATCCACAAATAATTTTTATTGGGATAAATCAGAGCAAGTGCGTTCCCCCAAGAAAGGCACAGTGAGCGCCCCTACTGTCAAATTTGACTTTGTCCATTTAATAGTGAATCCTGGAGCACGTCACTGAAGTTCTCTCTCCACGTTCTCCATCCCACTATCGAGACTCAGGGAGAACGGGGACCCCCGGAAGGGAGGACACAGACTGGTGCAGAGTGAGGGAGAGAAATGCCCATGGCATCCGGGCCAGTGTGTCTCATGGAGAGAGCACTGACCCGAAGGGTCCCAGGTTTGATTCTTGGTCAAGGGCAAGTACCTGGGTTGCAGGTTCAATCCCCAGCCCGGCCTGGAATGGCAACTATTCGATATGCTTCTCACATCGATGTTTCCTATTGCTCTCCCTTCCACTCTCTCTAAAAATTATTGGAAAAAATATCCCTGGGTGATATTTATTTTAAAAAGATGCCCATGGCCATGCCTCACTCTTGCTACTTTGGTCTCCGCTCCTTAACAGACTCCTCTCGAGCTGTCTGCCTCCTACACCCAAGGGAGACCCCGGAGGGAGCCCAGCTCAGACCCCAGCTGAGCCTCCTCTGTAAAGCCCGGCCCGCCCCCTGCATCGCCCTCAGTCTCCTCCTCCCACTCCCACGGGTCACCTGGTTCTCACCTTCAGGACCCATGAGGCCCCAGCCAGTCACCCAGCACCGTGAGCCTGGGGGGAATGCGGAGGAGGCTGGCGGGAGGCGGATCCACCTGACGAGGTTAGATGGTCGCACGGGGGCCTCCAGTTTGAGAAGTGCCACGTCCGACCCACCTTCTGGTCCTTCATTTTCAAGGCTGTAGTTGGGGTGGCGGATGATCCTAGCCACCTGCACACTGTCATTGTATGAGCGTCTCACTTGTCCTAGTTGGACCTTAATGTGCCGAGTCTCTGGGTTTCTCCTGGGGACAGAAGGCCAAAGTCTTCTGAGAGGCTGTGGAAGGGAGTGGGCCAGCCCCTCAGGGCCCAGAGACCTCCCCTCTGTGGTGGGCAAGAGGAGCACCAGGGAGCTGAATCCTGGTGGGGGGTCTGCAGCCACTCAGCCCAGCATCTGCCCCCAACACACATCACATGCCTCCCGACATTGTCCACCCCCACGGGTGCTGGCAGAGTAGGGACTTACCCTCGAATGCAGTGGGCAGCGGTCAGCACCCACTGGGGATAAATGAGGGAGCCCCCACAATTGAGATTCCACTTGGAACTTGTTGAATCGAAGACCCACAGGCCCACCTGCCACGGCCACTTCCCATCGGCAGCATCATGCCCCCCCACGATGCCCACCAGCTCAGTCCCTGGGCCAGGATCTGGGGAAGCAGAGGAGGAGCCATCAGGGACCCAGACACCGCTGCCCGGCACTCAGCATGGCCCCATCCTCAGTCCCTCCCAGAGCCACCCTCAGAGGGGGATCGCCACCCAGCCCAGGGGCGGCCTCTGAGAGGTCAGAGTCAGGCTTGGGGGTCAGGACCCACCTGAGGTCACAGGTACGGAGCCCCCCAGACAGGGGAGAGTCAGGACCAGCAGCCACAGCATCTGCAGGGGGAGAGGGCAGGGAGGAGAGCCAGTGAGGAGATGTGGGGCGGGGACACAGCCTGGGAAGGGAGAGGATGGGGCTTTGAGCAGCGTCCTCACCATGCCAGGTCTGTCTGCCTTCTGTCCTGGACCCTCAGAGCCCCTTTATCCTCCTGCCCAGACAGACCCAAGGGGAAGCTGCCCTCCTTTGGGGTGGGGCATGGGAGGAGGCAGGGCTTATCTCTTCAGTGGGACCAGTGGTGACCAGCAGACCAGCTATCAGATGAGAAACATGGTGTTTCCTGTCTGAGAAGACACTCAGTATTGGTGCTGGAGCCCTAGCTGGTTTGAATCAGTGGATAGAGTGTCAGCCTGTGGACTGAAGGGTCCCAGGTTCGATTCTGGTCAAGGGCACATACCTTGGTTGCAGGTTCCCCAGCCCTGGTCAGGGTTCTCTCTCACATCAATGTTTCTCTCTGTCTCTCCCTCTCCCTCCACTCTCTCTAAAAATCAATGGAAAATATCCTTGGGTGAGGATTAACTAAAAATAAAACTAATAAAAATATTGGTCTGGAAACATTTCACTGGTAAGCTGACAGTTTGCACATGAAAAAGAAAGAAATGAGATGCTTTGCTCGTCCTGTACACTGAAGGGTCTCAAGTTCAATTCCCAGTCAGACCACATACCTAGGATGAGGGTTCATTCCCCAATCGGGACACGTACAAGAGGCAAATGACCGATGTCTCTCACTTCTCTCTGCCTTCCTCTCGCTAAAATCCATAAGCATATCCTCGGTGAGGAACTAAATAAATGATAAGTAAATCAGATGCTCTGAAACAACACAGAGCAGGGGCACGGATGGGATGGGGGCCGGCACCTGAGCCAAGAGCAGGGGCGGGGGAGGAGAGCAGCAGGCCCAGTGCCCCCCTGCCCCCATCCTTCTTTTGAGGCTCCCAGTGTCCCCCAAAAAGGACAGACTCGCTGGACCTGCAGACAGAGTTTGTCAGCAACACCATGAGATGGAGGAGGCAGTTTCCCTGGAGCCTTTGGAGTTTGTGGGACCTGCTGACACCTTGATTGTAGACTTCCAGCCTCCAACACTGTGACAGAATAAAGTTTCATTTAAAGGTCCAGGTCTGTGGCATTTGTTACAGCCGCCCCAGGACACTCAGGCATCTGCTCAGCTGTCCTCATACATCCTATGCATGATCAAGCTTTGTCAAAATGCACAGCAAAGGGTGTGAGAGGTGCCAATTTAGTGCTAATTCTCCTCACCTCTCCTCACCTCCTGCACATGCCTGTACCCCCACAGCGCTGGGAGCCAACCCCCCTCTCACACTCCCTGCTTTCTGAATGGAGGAGCTCTGTCCCCTAAGTTCAATCCCAGGCAGAGGCCGGCCACTCGCCAGGGACTGACTTTTCTGCCCTTTGACATTCTGAGAATCATTCTCCACCAAGCATGGGACAGGACCAGACAGTGGTTTGAGAGGAGAAGGAAGAGGGGTTCCCACACCTGAACCACTGCCTGGTCCTCTGTGCCCCGTGAGCCCAGTGAGGAGACCATCAAGGGATGCTTTGTAGCACCTAGATGGGCTCAGTTCTCTAGAAACACATCATTCCCTCCTTGGGCCAGAGTCCCTGTCATCCTTGCTGAGATGTTGGTGTCTCCGTGGGCACCCAGAATCCTCAGGGGACACTGGGGATCTCGACAGGAAACAACCAGGATCCAACATGGCTGGGGGCCCTGTGGAGGGGGGAGTGAGCACCCAGGAGGGACGGGGCTGGGCTCCCAGACCCAGCAAGTCCTACAGGCCCAGGGGCGAGACCTCTGGGTGATAAGGGGGCATCCTCCCTCCATGCCTCTGCTCTGGACAGAGCCCCCACCTTCACCCACCTTAACAGTGGATGTGGGTTTGGGGATGGTTTCAGCCCAGATGACAGGAAGGCAAGTCACAGAGGTGTCAGCGAGAGGCCACAGGCCCCAACGCCCACCCTGATGCTGGACCCAGGCTTCCCGTCCGTCAGCACCAGGCTGGGCCATAACCAGCTGGGCCAGACCTGGGACAAAGACGGCATTTGGGCATTAGGAGCAGATCTGCCCAAAACAGAAACAAGAGGTTTGAGGGTCTGGGGGGAAATGTGATGATTATCATTGGCAGATAATACGATCTTCCTCCCAGAAAATCCAAAAGCCTCAACTGAAAAGGTTCTAAGATTAAGTTTCCCAAGGTGTCTAGATGGAAGACAAATGTTTTACACACAAATCAGGAGAGGAAGAAGGAGAAACTCATCTTTAACCCCAGGCATAGCTAATGCGATGCCATATGGTAGAGACTCCATTCACGGCCAGGTCCATACATTCCTAATCTAGAGTCCGTGACAACCACAAAACTTCCTTGAGGAGGACACTCACACAAAATAAAATGTCATTCAATGTTGTTAACAGGAGACGGTGTCATCCAATATCAACTCTTCCAAAATCCCCATAGAATGTGAACTGCACGCAAGTCTGGAACATTCAAAGTGACCCCCAAGTTTGCCAGGAGGAAAATACAGGTAGGGGTGTCCGAGGAAGCCACAGGGCAGAGTGAGGCAAACTAGGCAGCTGGTACCATAAAGCTGTGGGAACGGGAACCGAGTGGTTGTCCAGTGACGCAGGGTGGGTGAACGGCCCGGCCAACCTGCCCATCCTCCTAGACCCAGCCTCAGGGACAGCACAGCAGCAGACCGGCCCGGCCAACCTGCCCATCCTCCTAGACCCAGCCTCAGGGACAGCACAGCAGCAGACAAATGCACGGTATCAGCTCACAGCAAAGAAGGAGGAGACGGCATCGGTGAGGGGCCGCTGGGAATCAGATGGAGGGGATGAAGAAGAGGGGCTTGGGGAGAAGTGCAACCCCCTGTTCTGGTGCTTGGGTGAAGCCACCTCACTGTGCAGGACACATGCAGATGGGGCCACCTGGAACGTGAGGGTCCCAGGCAACTCAGATCTTGGCAGGGGCTGAAGAGGGTCACCCAGCTCAGAGGAAGGTGGTGAGAACCAGAGGGTGGACACATGGTCAGGACCCAGGGCGTCCTCTCCCTCCTGCAGTCGGGGTCACCCCAGGAAAAGGGTGAAGGATCCATCTCTAGAGAACCTTTGGTCCCAGCAAAACAGAGGACTGGCATCTGGGAAGCCCAGGTCTCCGCCCAGTCATCTTAGAACAGATTCAACTAGTCCACCAGCCAACCAGGCTGACAGATGCGAGTCAGCATTTGAACTGTTAATAAACACAGTTGATTCTGTTCCTTAGAAAAGTGTTCTTGTACCCTACTGGTGTGGCTCAGCAGTTGAGTGTCAGCCCAGGAACCAGAGGACCCAGGTTTGATCCCTGATCAGGGCACATGCCCAGGTTGCTGGCCCAATCCCCAGTAGGGGGCGTGCAGGAGGCAGCTGATCAATGATGTTCCTCTCTCATTGGTGTTTCTATCTCTCTATCCCTCTCCCTTCCTCTCTCTAAGTATACTTGTTTATGGTGGTAATTTTTGGCATAAACCAGCCCAAAACTTAGTGATTTTCTCTTACATATGAAGAAAACTGTTGGGGCTGACCAGGAAAGCATTGAATTGGAAAGTTAGAAACCAAAGTAAAAACAAATGAAAAAAAAGTTATTGAAACCTATTCAACTAGCAATGATGAGAAATAGAAGAAGTTTGAGTACGTTTTCAGGGAGGTAGGAGAAAATACTGCATTTATGAAACAAGGATTACATACTGTTTTCTTCTCATAGCAGGTAATAACCAAGCAGATAATAACCAAGTGCCCTTGGACATTAAAAATATAACAAATTAGTCCAAGCCAGTGGTTAGAACAATCGTCAGAACAGTGCCCCACATAGAAAAGAGTCACAGGTTCGATTCCCCGTCTCCCCCGTACCCCTGTCCCTCCCTCTCCATCCCTTCCACTCTCTCCAGAAATCAATGGAAAGTATATCCTTGGGTGAGGATTAACAAAAAAAAATTTTTTAAAGAACAAAAAGGGGGGCTTCCTTTTCTTTAACAACCTGAAAACAAAACAAAGCAAAAAAGGTGTGCTCAGCTGGCCCACCACTGGATGGTCCATGGGCCATGACGCTCCGCCTGCTTCCCCT